CCGCTGCCGCCGCCCATGCACGAGCCGCTGTCGCCGCAGCAGCTGCGCGAGCAGCAGGACATGTACAAGAAGATCCCGTCGCTCTTCGAGATCGTCGTGCGGCCCACGGGGCAGCTGGCCGAGAAGCTGGGCGTGAGGTTCGTGGCGCCGCGAGCGGGGGCGCAGCCGCAGGCATTGCCTTCGCTGGGGACGCCGGAGCCGCGCCGGAGCTGCCCGCTCTTCCCCGCTGCGGCTCCGCCGCGGGAGCGAGCCGCGCTCTATTTGCCTATCGGTTGTGTATTGGGGGCCCTGCCGGGCCCTGGGAGCGGGACCCGGCCGCCCTGGCACCTCYGGGCGCCGGTGCCAAGCACAGCGGGTGGGAAGGAGGATCCCCCGGCCCGGCCGGAGCAGCGCGTGCCCCCTGACGCCGCCTTTCCCGGCGTTCCCTTGCAGGCATCCAGGGCCGCCGCCCCCCAGGTTCCCTGGGCCGGGAGGCCCCCCCGGGCCCATGCCTGGACCCATGCACCCCGACATGCACCCGGACATGCACCCGGACATGCACCCCGACATGCACCCCGACATGCACCCTGACATGCACCCCGACATGCACCCGGACATGCACCCGGACATGCACCCCGACATGCACCCCGACATGCCCATGGGCCCCGGCATGAATCCCGGGCCTCCCATGGGCCCCGGACCACCGCTGATGCCCTACGGTCCGGACGACTCGCCGCACTCGGGAATGATGCCGCCGGGGCCGCCCGCGCCGGGCTTCTACGATGACTTCTACCCGCCGCAGGAAGCGCTCGACATGGATCCCGGCATGATGGGGGAGCCAGGTAGCGCCCGCGCGCCGCTCGCGCCCGCGGGCCTCCGAGGCCGGGCTCGCCGTCGCCCGCGGCGCCCCGACCGCGTTTCGGGGTCCCTTCCCGCAGGCGGGCGAGAGGCGCTGCTGCCCTACGACGACATGGCCCTGCCGGAGCACTACGGCGCCTACGAGGCCGCGGAGGGCCCGCCGGGCGAGCACGCGTTCGCCGAGGCGGCCCTGGAGCACGAGGCGCTGGGCGAGGGCGGCGCGCCGGGGCTGCGCAAGGCGCCCGGCGCCCTCCCCGATTTCCTGCCCTCGGCGCAGAGAGCCCTGTACCTGCGGATCCAGCACAAGCAGCACGAGGAGGAGGAGCGGGCGCGCAGGCTGGCCGAGAGCAGCAAGCAGGAGCGGGAGCACGAGGAAGGCAAGGGGCAGAGCGAGCGGGGGCCGCGCGGGGCGCGGGAGGAAGCTCGTAGCGCTCCTGAAACGGGCACTCGGTGCCAAGGTGTGAGCGGGAGGAGCGGGAGCACGAGCAGAGCTGGGGGGGCCGCCGGCCCTGGGGGGGCCCTGGGCTCGCCGCGCGCTGCCGGGAGCCACTTGCCGTCCTCCCTCCTCCCAGGGGACACCGGCAACTGGTACTCGAGCGACGAGGACGACGGCGGCAGCAGCGTCACCTCCATCCTGAAGACGCTGCGGCAGCAGAGCTCGGGCCGGCCGCACGCGCCGGCGCCCGCCGGCG